TTCCTCCCAACCATCCTAGTTTGGCTGCTTCCTACAACAACATTGGTGTAGTGCATAACAACATGGGTAATTATCCAAAAGCACTTTCATTTCACGAGAAAGATCTTGAAATCAGTACACAATCGCTTCCTCCCAATGATCCTGATTTGGCTAAGTCCTACAATAACATTGGTGTAGTGCATGAAAACATGGGTAATTACACCGAAGCACTTTCTTCTTATGGAAAAGCTCTTGAAATTCGACAACAATCACTTCCTCCCAATCATCCTGATTTGGCGACTACCTACTATACGATTGCTTCAGTGCATGACAGCATGGGTAATTATCCGAAAGCACTTTCTTATTATGAGATAGATCTTGAAATCAGTCAACAATCACTTCCTACTAATCATCTTGATTTGGCTGCTTCCTACAACAATATTGGTTTAGTGCATGACAACATGGGTAATTATTCGAAGGCACTTTCATCTTATGAAAAGGCTCTTGAAATCAGAGAACAATCATCTCCTTCTAATCAGCCGTATTTGGCTATTTCTTACAACAACGTTGGTGAAGTGCATAGAAAGATGGGTAATTATCCGGAAGCACTTTCTTATTATAAAAAAGAGTTTGAAATTCTGCAACAATCACTTTCTCCCGATCATCTTGATTCAGCTATATCCCAGGACGACGTTGATTTAGTGAATTGCAATGTAGGTTCAGTGCATTACAACATGGGTTTAGTGTATTACAACATGGGTAATTACCCTGAAGCACTTTTATCTCATGAAAAAGCTCTTAAAATTCAACAAGAATCACTTCCTTTCAACCATCCTGATTTGGCTTTTTCCTACAACAACATTGGTCTGGTATATGAAAACATGGGTAACGATTCAAAAGCTCGTACATTTTATGAATATGCTATACTAATTGCACAACTATCATTACCTTCAAATCATCCTGATATTCAGTTATTTAGAAATAATCTTAGAGACGTAATAAACAAGTAATAAATTGTATTGTTATGAATTTTTTTATGAAAAAAAAACTAAACTTTTTAAACGAGAAAAGAATTGTTTTCAATGCGCACGGATACAAAGGAAATCTAATGTTGTTGACAGCAGAAATGGGTAGTAATACTCATCTGTAAGGTAAGCAATACATATCAAGCGACAGATATTGTTGAAAAAGAAAACGATTGTGCCTGGCGAAGGTAGAGTTTCGTTATATGTGATATACAATGAATATGATGACGGATAGATTATATTTATTTTAATAGCATATATGTTAGAAAGGTCAATTTTTATCATAGAGTGAATAGAAAGTCAATCGATAATGATGGTTTCATTGAAATAAATAATTGATATTTTAAAGAGATTATTTTTCTTTTATTTGTTCGGTACATTTATAAGCTCTACCTAGGAATGTTTTCAATATAACGATATGCCTCGTGATTCTTTTACATCGTAAGTGCTCATTCATTAGTTCATTCGAAATTTTTGATTAAACTAAGCATAAATAAGAATAAAATTTGTCACATTGAATGTTGTAATAAGACTGAGTTGGCAAATTTATTTCAATATGCATAAATTGAACTCTAAAAAGTTGTATAAGTATATGAATCCAATCGATTTAGATACTAAATAAAACGATTTACAAATTCAATTGATTTCTGACATATGGATCTTGGGTGTGTGTGTGGGTGTGGGTGTAGGTGAGGGTGTGATTGTTGTGTATATGTATTACTCACATCCACACCCTTATAAACAAATTTGTTTTGTCGTGGACCTTTAGATTATAATAGATCTTGACATATTCTACAAAATTATTCGAGTGATCTTTGCTCGTTTTCTGATCAAAAGACGTAAAAAAAACTTGTTTGTTCTCAAAAGATTGTATTTTTCTTGAATTTTATATAAATGTCAATATTATAAGAACACTTCATATACTTAGCCATCCAAATATATATAATGCTTTTTTTTCTTTACATTAAACTCCACATTTCGTATTCGAAATCGATAAGCAGGACTCAGAAGTTCTTCTTCTTCATCGTAATCGGAATATGGCGATATATCATTATTGGTGGACAACTTGTGGACAGGTTGGGTAATGATGAATAACGTATTTCCAAAACTTTCAGCTTTCGTACGATTTCGACTGCATGACGTAAAAGCTTGGAAACTGCGATATGGATTGTTGCTGGTTGCGATCTCCTTGAATTTTGTAATCTGATCTTTCGATAAATTTGCCCCACGGTAAATGATTCCCCGAAACCCGCCTGCTGGACGCTCGAACATAACAGTAATTCTATCTAGAAGAACAGCAAATGGACCTAACGTCGATATTTGTTGCTGCCAGATATGTCGTTGTTTCTTATCGTCAACTAGCCTCATAGCTTCATTTAGTTTCTTGTATAGAAAACTTTCCATTGAGTACAGACGAGCACAACAGCGCCAGATTTCTTCTTCAGACCCGTTTTTCACTTTGAGTAATTCATTGGCCATCCATTGAGCTTCACGCTGTCTTCCTAACTTCTTACCTTCTTGAGCTATGCCTTCAGCAACTATCTCCACAATATTCTTAAAACACATGTTACTTATCTGTTGTTTAGTTGCAACGAGAAAAATTGAATCAGTAGAGGCATGACAAAATGGCATATCCGGATGTATAGGATTAACTATAAATCGATCTTCTCTTAGTATTTTGTCTCTTGTGGTCTTCACTTCACGTTTCACAGGTACTGATTGTGGATTATTGTTATTGTCACTGCAGATTTGCACCTGATGGACAAAATCAATTTGAACTGTATCTAAAATGACTTGATCTTGCTTAGCTTGAAAAGCTTCTTCAATTAAAATGTTCTCAACATCGGAATATCTGTACCATTTAGGTGGCTCATCTCTTGTCTGCCAGAACCATTCAATGCGTGCAGGAAACTGCATCACAGTTGCTTCTGCCATCATAAAATGATGAAAAACAGTCAAATGAAACTTCGACTGGTAGTATGTGTGCTGCTGTATTACACAAGCAGAAAAATGTGTTTTTAATGCACATGGGAGAAAAACAACATGAATTATATTGTGAAAAGGAAAGCAAAAACAACTCACAACTATACGTCTTCATAATGTGAACGTGAGTATCTGAGAGGATTCAAAGTTACTTACAATGTGTCTTATTCTTGCTTAAAATATTCGCCAACTAAATTTGAAATCTATGATATAAGGTATTACAAAAAGATTCGCGGCTATTTTCCTTCGATATATCTTTGTAACTACTTGAGCAAATGCAACAAATAAATAGTCATTTTAAAGGGTGGGTGTGGGTGTGAGTGACTTCTCTCCATTGACATGCACCCATACTCACAGCCTCAGATGTGTTTGGAATTCTTGTTATGATGTTATATGTTACTGTTCCTTAATCGTTTGATAAGCTAGTTGTAAAATTTTTCCTATTCTTCATATAAGTAGTTTTTATTCTCTGCGTCTTAGTCTTATAAAGTAATAAAAGCAAAAATATTAAGATATTGGAAAACTTAAGCAAATATTTGAGGTGAATATGCGTTTGTCAATTTGGAAAAAAACTTGTATCTTGAGGGTGGGCGTGAGTGTGTGTATTCTTATCATTCGACACCCACACTCATTCTACTATTAAATCGAAGAAAATCTCTCTTCAACCAATTAAATTCATTGATCATGATTCATGTAAAGCACTTTATTATAAAGCAAAATCGATTCATCGTGTGGGAAAACCTTACATGCTCTTCTTAGTGATAATTTTGCTTAAAGTGATCCATTCATGGTTGATCTCTATTCTAAATCAATGATATTTCAATCTTATATAGATATTCTTGTTCAAAAACTCGTCGATCAATTTAAAATCATCGAGAAAGAATATCAAGGAGAACCATCGCGTGGTTTCTGTATTTTAGAATTAAATGCTGGTACTGTTGCTCTTACTTTGGTGATTTTAAAGAAATTATTTGAACAAACATCGATTATTCAAGAAAGTCGATTGATCTATATTTCTACTGATGTTAGTGGCAAATTTCTTTTAGATGCAAAGAAATGTTTTTCTTCCATTTATCTATGTATTCAATATGAATTAAGTAATCTTGATGAAGACTTAGCAACACAAAAACTTAATCTTTATTCATTTGATTTTCTTCATGTCGCACAAGATTTAATGTTATGTTTAAATCGTGTTCAACAATTATTGCAATCCAATGATTTTCTTTTATGTATTGAATTCATTGTTTTGATTTATTTGCTGGTTTGTGGCATTTCACGAATACAAATAGAAGATCAACATGTGTGTCACTATTGAATGCTCGAGATTCAGATTGATCATTTCAGAGGAAAGATCTTTTTAATCGAGCAATATTTAGTACAACTGAAGTGACTGTTCACAATCTTCATGCATATATAGAAAAATTTTTATATTAGCTCAATCCTTAATTTTAGTAACAGATTCAACAACTGTCTTTGTTCTTACTCAAACAACCATCTCACCAATCGGTGCAACATTCACTGGTTTTACTCGAATTTTAGTTAGAACGAATTGAAAACATTGGAAAGAGGATTCATCATTCGTGAAAATATCATTACTGTTCCACGTCATATTCCTCGAACTTTAATAAATATCTCAACAAAGATCAATCGAGAACATATCTTTTCTAATGAAAAGAAGAAATAAGATTTTCGTTTAAAAACTGATACAACTGGTCAATTACAAACATTAAAATATCGATTATTTGATCTTCTTTCTTCCCTATCACCAAATGATGTTGAAGTTGAAATTTGTGCTTTCTCATTAAACTTTAAAGATTTAATGTTAGCATTGGGAATGTTAGAGAATCCAATGGGTTTTGATCGTCAAATATTAAAATATCGAGAAAATTCAATCAATCTAAGTTTAGAACTAAGTGGAATTATGGCGAATGTTGGTGTAAACGCATCCAAAAACTTTTAAATTGGTGATGAAGAATTTGGCTTTGCTAGTCATTGTTTTATTTCTCAAGTCGTAACACACGATGATTTTTTTGTCAAAAAATCTTACCCATTGTCTTTGTAAGGGCCTATACAGGATTAATTGCTAAAGCTCAAGCGAAAGCAGGCGAAGCTGAGTTGCTTTTTTTGAAAAACGTCAATTCTTAGAAAAAACTTATAGATGTAAATTATTTGCTAATTCTCATTCGACTGAAGAATGGAAACTCGAAGTTATGAAATTAACAAATGGTGAAGGTGTAGATAATGTTTTAAATCCTTTAAAAGGTGATGCTATCCAAGCTGATGTACAATGTTTAAAAATCGGTGGACTTTTTATTGAAATTGGTAAAGTTGACATTTTAAATCATTCATAATTGGATATGAATTTGTTACTTAAAGATTGGAGTTTTCTTAGTGTTCAATTAGATATATTAATGCAAAGTCAAACAAAGAATATTTACAATCAATTGAAAAATTAGCTTCGAACAAAGCAATTTTTCCTATTGTTGATCGGATTTATTAATTAAGTGATCCTGTATCAGCATTTCATCTTCTAATGTCTGATCAACATAAAGGAAAATTAATTTTAAATATGAAAAGTGAACTGCCAGCTCTATTTCCTTCAACAACTATTTATAATTCTCAAACTTGTCATATTTTAAGTGGAGGAACAGGAGCATTAGCTCTTCAATTAGTTCAACATCTCAATGCTCATGGAGCTAAACGTTTTCTCTTATTATCTCGTCAAGGTTCAAATGGTTTAAGATCGTCCGATGCGACTATGCTTACTGATCTTCAACGTTTTGGAATTGAAATCTGTATTGAAAAATGTGATGTAGCTAAATTAGAAGATATTCAAAATGTTTTACATACAGCACAAATGAAATTCAATGTTTCTTCATTGAAATATAGTCTTCTTCATTTAGCTATAGTTCTTGATGATGCACCGATTTCGAAATTAAATATTCAACGGATAGAAAATGTTCTTCAATGTAAAGTTACCGGTGCAATGAATTTTCTTCAGTTAATTCCTGGTGAACAATTAGAAAATGTGATATTTTTTTCTCGTGCTGCTTCAACCTTTGAAAATCCATCTCAAGCAAACTATAGTAAAGCAAATATATTTCTTGATAATTATGCTAATCAACTTTCTAAATTATGAAAAAATCGAGTGAAAGTTGTAAATTTAGGTTTAGTAGAAGATGTTAGGACTCTTGTCGAAGATTAGAAATTAAAATAAATTTTAACTCCAAAAGATTTTGCTGGTGGTTTAACATCAACAGGTGTTTGTCAACTTGTTGATCATGCATTTTGTTTTCCAAAATGATGATCAATGTCAAATGTTATATGAAAGATTTAATCCATTCATATGTAATATTAAAAACTCGTCTGGAACATTTAATTGATCAGACAAAATCAAATAGCAATGCAAATTCAGGAACATCTACTAATGAAAGTGAAATAATGATACCTTCGATGTCAACATATATCTCAACATTATTGGTAACAGCAAATCTGGATGTTAATGAAGCATAGACTATTCAAGGTTTAGATTCACTTCTTGTTGTTAAGTTAAGTGCAGGTTTAAAGAAACAATTTCAATTAGCGATCAGTCAATTAGCATTACTAGGTGAATTATCTGTTAAACAAATTGTAGAATCTGTTTCTCTTTAAAAACAAACAAATATCTTTTCATTTCTTATTCTTTAACAGTTTGCTTTTTTTTGTTCAAAATAAATTTTTAATCATAAATTAGTGGATTAATAAGACTGATATCTTGAGGGTGTGGCTATAATAAAAGCAATACTCATACTCTTAGTTTGAAGGAAATTTTTAATACTATCTGTAGTTTCTGGGGACTAGATTATGAGATTCGTATTAGAATTTTATTTTTTTTTGAATTACATTTTTTATGTTTTTTCATTGTAATTCTTTCTTTTCTTTTTTTGTATTCGCTGACATAAGGTAATTTCTTAGATGACTCATAGTCGAAACACAAGAAAAAAAGAATAGTTATGTAAACGTAATTTTACGTTGCTTATTTACAGGAGAAAAAGGAGAGATTAATCAGAATACACCAGTTAAAAATGTGCGCAGTTCGAAAAGAAATCAAATCTGTAATTCTGAAACGAGTCACCGACGTGCAGTTAGATGCGTGTATGTGGATATCTCTTGTCTTTATCTACTGCCCACACCCTCAAGTATTTTGTTAGTTGAATCTGATATTATCATCGTTGTTACTAGTATCGACTGTGTTTAATAGCTTCTATTCTTTCGCGGAATATATTAAAATGTCTTTTTTTAGCAGCAGCCACATAAAAAATCAATTGTTTTTCTTTTGGTTGTTCATATGACTTCAAATGAAATAATACAAGGTTCTTTCCCTTTGTATGAAAAGAAAGAAATACAACTGATTGATTGCGTAGTATATTTTCATGTTGTTGTTGCTTTTAGATTTTGATCATTTTTTTGAATTTACCAACTTTACTTTTTGTTTGTCACTTACGAAAAAATAACTTCATCATTTCAATAAACTACCTTCATCGTTCGCTTCCAACATACATTAAAAAGTAAAAAAATATTATTAAGAATTCTAGCAAATAATTCATTCAATTTAAATTATTGTTGACGTGGTGAGTTTTTGACTGTTCTCATATTGCATACTAATATTGATATTTTTTTTCATCAGTATTTCACACAAATTTAATCAATCTACTGACTTGAATAAGCAGATTAAAAATAGACTAATTAGTTACTTTGTATAATTTATGAAGATTCTTTATATCATTCTGTAATGAAAACATGTTAAAATTTTTGAAGGTTTATTTGCATATTTATTCATAAACTGACTTTTCAATGTAAAACTTGTATAAGAAACTATAATATCGAAAAGTATACTTTTAGATTCGTCTAAAAAACCTTCGAAACATTGCAAAAAACATCAAATATCACTCGGCAAAATACCAACACTCAAAGAATCTTTGTTAATTATGAGCAATTTTTGAAGAAATAGAAAAAGAGAAACTAAAGCTTGTTCTACTACTTTTCCTAAAATTTATACACTGACTCTAGACGTTATTCATGTTTAATAATGGCCTCATCTTCATTGAATGTCACTCACACTGAGTTTATTCGATTTTTAGTCTATGATCATATAGTATCTTGAGATAAATTGATAAGTGAAATTTAGAGTTGAAATTATAAATGTTCATAGGAGTCATAGACATTAGAAAGTCTTCAAAATCCTTGCATCTTTCAAAAACATTCTTGAATTAATCTTCTAAACGAATGTTAGTGCCATGCAGATTTTAAGATAATTCTTTATATTGTAAACATTTCTTCGTCTTCAAATACTATTCTACCACTTGATATGGGGTTTGGTGGAAAATGTCGAAAAGGAAAATACCGAAAAGGAAAACGCGGAAAATAGTAAAAGAAAACTTTCATATACGGATATTTTCTTTTTCTTTTTTCGACATTTTCCTATCGAACGTTTTTCTTTCCGACATTTTCCACCAAACCCGCAGTGAATGGATTTCTTATAAATCACGTTGTTGAGATTTATAATTAATCAGCATATTACAAAGAAACGCACTCGACCAATTCATACGCACGACTGTAACCAAAGAGTCTGACATGAATAGTTTTTATTTAAATTTAGTTATGATGCTAATTTTACAAAACAAAGTTTTATTTTATTTCTAGACTACTTATCGTGCTTATTACTCGAAAATATTCTTTCATATAAACATGGCTACAGGTGGAAACGATGATCCACAACAGTATACACGTGTATCAGATATTGTCAATGAACCGCAAAAGATGCTCATGCCAATTGAAGGATATGAAGAAATGCCAATAGTGTCATTGGAGGAAGCTGTTGCACCACTTATTTCGATTTTACCTAAAATTCAAAATTATACTTATGTGGCGAAGCAACGATGTGATTCTGTACCTCCAGATAATTTAACACAGGACGAATCAGCTTCAATCATGCTTTACTCTATGGAATGGGAACCACATGAAAAATGCTTGTATTTTGCCCTGAATACAACACTTCGCACTGAAGATAGGCGAAAATTAAAACCATGGTTTTCGTATCTGAAACTTATTCTCACAGCACTCGAAAAACTACCATCTACACGGTGCAATGTGTATCGTGGAGTTAATTTAAATTTAAGTGAACAATACACTGAAGGAAAAAAATTTGTCTGGTGGGGATTTTCTTCATGTACAACATCGATAGGAGTACTTGAAAACGAACAATTTTTAGGCAAAACTGGTCAAAGAACAATGTTTAATATCGAATGTGATAGTGGTAAAGATATCAGTCGTCATTCGTATTATCAATCGGAAAAAGAAGTTCTTCTTCTAGCTGCTCGACAATTTGTTGTAGTAGGTTGTCTTCGACCAGCACCAGGTCTTCATATGATTCAACTAAAAGAAATAAAGCCTCCAATTACTCTTTTACAACCGGTTACAAATCTATCTGTGCAAATTAAACCAACACCGAGTAAGAGAAAAACGGGAACCGGAACGTTCAGCACCGGAATTTTCAGCACCCGAATGTTCAGCACAGTAATTATTCAGCACATGAAAAGATCAGCACCAAGAAAAATTAGAATCTTG